TTTCAGATTATTGTCCCCATTTCAAGTTCACCTTTTTTAATGTCCAGATAATCATGCAGCAAAAGGACAGAGGCCAAGAAAACCTCTTCTATTTTAATCTGTTTATGTACAATATGAGTGTTCCACACAAGGCTTTATCTGCTGGCCCCCCCACCAAACCTGCAGTGGGGCAGTCCCCTCAGGGGATGTTGTTCCGAAGACCAGCTGCTGTAACATGGGCTTCCTGGAGGCTGCATATTCACATTCAGAGAGGAACTTGCAGAACATGAGAGAAAGCAAATGAAGCAAGTTCTTTCAGGATTAAAATTATTCAGAAATTAGCTATTTCTGAATAATTTAGTCAGAATGAGTCAAATTGTGAGGTGCTCTTTGACTGAAGAGAAATGACAGCTCTCACAGCTGGTTATTCAGAATAACACGAACAGAGGTGAACAGAGACCTGTACAACCTATAATGTACTCTGCGTATCTCGTTATACTCTGAGGACAGCTGGCACGGTGGAGTCAAAGACATCTCTAGAAAGTCTGACGTAACCTGGCAGTTTTAATGGTACCATCAACCTGGACAGGGACGTTCCCTGCCAGCAAATCTTTCCCTCAACTGCATGGCCTTTTAAAAACGAGCGCTCACTTTCCCCTAATCATTATCCTCACGGATGATCATTTCGTCTCTTTTTAATATGAGGATATTTGCCAAATCTTTTCATCATGGCCGAGGTCTCTCGGGAATCTCCTCCAGCCAACGATCCTTTTCAACCTGCCTGCTCCTTCCATCAGTGATGTGATCAAAGCCATCCACTTGAAAGAAAATCTTTAGGATTTAATTGGTGTTTCCTTTTTCCTCATAGGCCTCATGTTCTGGCAGAAGTTAAAACTAAAACCCACAGGAGCATTCCACTGTGGCTACACATGGGTCACTGGCTCCACCACAGTGTCCCAAATGGCTCATAAAAAAAAAAAAGTCACTACAGAAGAGCTGTCACTCACAACCTCCAAGTAAACAACTTGGTTGCATCTATTTGTAAAATACAGTGAAGGGAGTGAGTGCCCCACACTGACTCACCAGCTATTAGCAGACTTCCCCTCATGGTAGCCAAGCTTCAGTCATTCAGGTCTTGGCAATGCAACAGTGTGCTTACACTGGTGTAAATCAACAGTGTGAAAATGACTATGCTTGTGTGAAAGAGGCTTTCAGGAGTGAGTTGAGCATTAAAACTCCATCTTAAGTACCTTGCTTTTGTGGAGCAAAACAGTTCTCCTCCAGGAAGGAGTTAAATGTCAGACTGCAAAGGCAGCAGCATACAGTGCTCCTCTGCTGTGCATGAAGGGAAAGGGAAAATTGAATTCTTCAATTCACCTTATGAAAGTTATGGAAATTACAGAGGAATTAATTCATGTGCTCAACCAGTCCTTAACCACAACAGAAATAGAAAACTAGAAAGAGAGAAATCCTAAATTCTGTTTGCATTCCTGAAAAGTTCCAATTGAGGGTTAACCGTATGGAACACGGTGCAGGTTGTTGTTGTCCAGCAAAATGAGCAAAGAGTCCAGACGCTCCACTGAAGGTGATTATCACAGAAAGTACACATGGTGAGAGCTGCTTTTGATGTGAAAGGCCTAAAAATAGCAACATTTCTTTACAGCTATGTGTAAATCTATTTCCATAACATTTTACTATACTTAAAGAATAAGTGACAACTCAGGTCTTTCAGGGGTGAAAATTGCATTATGTCATGAATACTGTTTTAAGAACAAACATTTTCAAAGCATCAACTTTACTGCAATAATTATGGTAAAGGGCTATTGATGAAATGGCACTATGCCATTAATCAGGAAAGTCAAAGATATTTATTATCTTTAGATAAGAAAAGATATGCAAGGAAAAAGCAGAATTGCCTGTTTGCTATTCCATCATGATAGTGCAACTTGCAGTAATTGTAATAATTGGCTGAATTCTGTCCACACTTTCTCCTGTGCAGCCACAGTAAGTAACTCAGTCAGAAAAGGCTGGGAGGCACAATTTGGCTGCATATGTTACTAACATTACATTAAAGAAGTAACATTTCCTACCTTCAGCTTTTACTTTTTTTAAAAAAAGCGATTTCTTCCCAGAACTGGAAAATAAAATAGTTAAGAAAGCTGGATTATGCGTAAGAATTTGTCAGCTAAATATGCTGGTGAATATACTCACTGAAACAAGTGGACCCATTCGTGAAAATATTGTTATTTATGAAAAAATAGTTAGAAAATCAGGGTTCAAGACAAAGGGAACACATCATGTTACTCACAAGGGCTGACATTCTCAAGACTGCCTAATGATGAATACGACTTGTTTTGAAAGAAGCTTGGGGGATTCAGTGGTATGAAGGAGAAACTATGCTTCTGGCAAAAGATAAAACACTCACACTTTCTGTTGAGGAACTGGGAAGTTTCAGCAAATGAAGGATCAGGCCATTAAACGAATGAGTTTCACACCACTTGCTTGTCAGTGACAGATCCCATGAACTGCCTGTACTAAGGGCTCTGTGTATGGGTCAGCAAAAGCCCGCCATTTCATGAAACTCCTCCTCAAATACTATCATTTGTAAGAACAAAGAACATCCTGCAATGAGGAATAGATGAAAGAGTGTATAATTCACTCTCCAAACATTGTGAGTGGAGATTGGAAGAACTGTGCTGTGGGAAAGCATTGCCAAGGATAGCAATGCAAGGAACTATTTGCTGCAAGGAAGACATTGTGGTTCTGAGTTTATGCACGCAGTGCTGCAGACTGAGACAATGAAGAAAGTCCCCAAGCAATAGCTTGGGTAACACTGCAAGTTAAATACAAGATTGTTTTAAAGTTAATATTAAAAGAAAAACACTGTACCAGAGAGCTTACAAACAATTTGGACTTCTACCTAATACGGTGAAAAAAATATGAGAGATGAATGTCAGGCATGGTTTGTATGACAAGATTTACAGGGCCTCCCTCATATTACCTTTCAGAGAGGCAACAAATAGTCCTTGCTGATCCACAGTTAATCTTACACTACTGGCTCTGAAACCCACCAACACTAATAATAGACTGCACGCACTGCCTCCCCTGGGCTCTGCTGAAAGGCATGGAGAAGTGGAGCTCAGTGCTGAAGAAACCATAAAACCACACTCCTGCTGGACAGGCTGCACCTTTTGGTTCACCATATGATGTCTACACACAGCTACCAAGGACATGGCACAAAGACAGCACAGCAATGGTTATGACAGACAGGTTATGGTTACCTGATAGATCACAACCCGGAATTTGTTTTTCCTCAGCATCTCCTCTTGCTTTGTCTGCACCTTCCGTACATTGGCGCTCTGCCTTTCCACCCGTGCTCGTACTTCCTTCATGGTGGAGCTGACCTTGTGGGTTTTCTCCAGCAGCTTGTTTACCGTGTAGCCAGTATTGCCGTGAGCCTGGGCAAGCTTTAAGATATCAATCTGTATGGTCTTGATGGCATTTTCCATCTCCCTGTGCCTCTCTTCTATTCTCTTCTGGCTCGCTTGCACGCTGTCCACGATATTGGCCACTTTGTCCAGGACTGTCACGATGGTGTATGCTGCGTCCTGCTCTTCCTCATCCTCAGTGACGCTCGACAGGCGGTTTTGGTGGAGTCTGTCAGCCTCCAGAGTGATCTCCCGGCGCTCCATTTTGCCTCTCTTTGGCAGGAGCCTTTCGTCTGAATGCCCTGCAACCACTACTGCAGGCAACCGGTGTGACAGGCGGCCTCGGCCATGCTGAAGGGTGGGAGTGGAACGCCGCTCCCGGAGGTGGGTCAGATGCTTCTGCACACCAAATGTCCACACACGATGGCTCAGATGCTTTCAGCAACATGAAACCTCTAAAATTAGGAAGCAATGTCTGGAAAGGAGCACACATTTAAAGGGTCACGCTTCTGTGCTGATGAAGTTATTAGCGTTAATCCAGGGAAGTTAAGTAACTTACCAACTAAGCAGGCGAGCAAACTCGCATATTTTAAATGATCTACTGTTGTTTTTGTGTTCCTGAAGCGCTTGCACTGATGGAATTCAAACAGCACTCAGAAAATGAGCACTGGCTGTTTTTGGAGCAAAACAAACTTCAGCTCTTCAGCTGGCTGCAATTGTCACGTGAGGTAACAAATAAACACACTAAACCAGAGGCAATATAGTGAAAACGCTGTATTGTGACATGCTTTTCCAGTTCAAAATGTTGAAAGCTTTTTTTTTTTTTAATTGAACAAATTATTAAATCCTACATGCAAAATTCTGAAAGCCTACACTACATGTTAAAACAGCTGAACACGTCCTATTCACACTTTATCTCTGGATCTCTCGAACAACAACTAACAGTCTATTAATATAACTATGACCAGCAGACTAATTTGGATGGACTTTCTTAGCTCTTGAAAATACTCTATACAAGAGCTCTAGTAATTCATTCACTTTTATTTGTTCTTTTTTTTTTTTTTAAATTATTATTTATTTTATTTGAATCACAAACACTATACAATCTGCATCGTAGGTGTTAAAACAATGTACTTTCTTTTAAAAAGTTTAAGAAGTATTAAAACAGCTTCAGTAGTGATAAAGTAGGCTTTATTCCAATTATTTGTGTTCAATTATTCAACACCAATCTTTACAACCCCTAAATCTACCAAGACCTACTTCTTTTGGACCTGTGCCATCTGCTCTACCAGGCAACTTCCCAAATTAAGAAATTCATAATTTTGCCCTTTAAAAAAAAATTGTCAGAATCATTAATGAAGATGGCAGTGCTTTGACCCAGCCCACACGTTTCATAAATATATTACAACTACACACAGCACACAGCTTCACAGTTCATGCGATAGGCAGTGTCTAAAAAATCAGTTACTAACTTCCAAAAACATTTAAATATCTACGGTATTTAAACACAGTGTTTTCTAGTTTCTCATAAGAAAAGTAAGCTGTAAACATTTTTACCTTTAGTTCATGCCTTGTTTGCTAGGTAATGTGGACTTTTTATTGTTGGTTGTTTTGTGTTTGTTTGTTTTTTTTTTTGTTCCCTTTTAAATCTACAACCATTGGTGGAATAAATCTGTGTTCCCAAAAATATTACATTCCATGAATAAAGCACAAGTCTATTATATAACCATGTGATACAGATACAGAAAATGAACTACTGTATTCAAAAACAGAAAAGTAAAGGTACTAAAACAGTCCATAGCTGTTAGAGCTGATGCTTTCAGAATACAGACCAACATTGTTACACTAAAAATGTTCAAAAATAAGGCCTCTGAAATAAATATTTCCATTCTTTAAAAAAAGATATAATAAAAATGTACATCACATGGTCAATGTAGGTATAAAAATCACTAAGTTAAACCATTCTGGATGATGTATCTGAAGTAAAATGGCCTAGGTTTTGCTTCTGCCGACGTCCTCTATTGTTTTTGGGGCATTTTCTGTTTAAAAAAAAAAAAAAGAAAGAAAGAAAAAAGGACAAATGCTTTAGTATATACCATATAAATTTAAACTTAGCAATAGTGAATTGACTTAACAACACCAAAGAGTGTAGGAACTGTGCTGGCTGAGTGGACACTCCTGCTGTTTGGTAGCTGGCTGATGGTTGTGGATTTATGTGGGACACTAGGTCACTGAGAAAGGAGTTCTGCTTAACTTGAGAACCAAACCAGCAAGGTGCTACGCCCTTCAACCTTGATTGACAATTGCATGTATTATGGTGAATAGCTGTGTTGGCTTTAGTGTTTACAATTTCATATTTAAAATCCAGGGGGTGTTAAGACTGGATCAATTGGACCTGGCAGTGCTGGACCTCCAGTACTCTGCTGCTTGTTGGAATTCCCCAGGCAGAGGCCACCTCTCATCCCTTTTCTGGGGAGGGTTGCACATCTAAGAAAGCATTATGAAAAAGACGGCAATTCTGACCAGGAAAGGACTTAGTCAGCCCACCGGAGAGTGGGCAATGCAAGACATAACACTATTTATAGCTGAACTGCAGGAAAACAGCAACGTGTCAACCTCTCTGGTTTCAGCAGGGAGGAGGGGGATGGGGAACCATATCTTGTATAAGATAACATCAAAACTTTAATAACTTGAATATGAGCTCTAACACAATAGCTGACCTTCTGAATGTTTCAAGGCTGATCTCCTCTCATGCGTAGCTGTTCTGGGGATTCAGAGAGGATGCAGGTGGTTTGCAAATTGAAATTAATTTGTATTTTGTGACAAAAAGAGTAATAGGTATCTTTTACATGAGTGTTTGAGAGTACTTGTTAATGCACATACAAATCCAGAGGGGAAAAGATTTAAATATAGAAGAAGTATATAAGTGCACTGTGTAATTTTTCACTCCTTTGGCTTTTACCCACCTTGTTATGCACATGACAATTGCAACTATAATGGCAATCTGTACGGCTCCAATTATTGCTGCAATAAGGACATGCGTAAGCTTTTGTCTACTTGGGACAACATAAAGAATACTAAAGTCTGTCTTTTCACAGTGCTGTCCAGTATATCCTGATTCACACCTGAAAAAGAAAAGGAACATTTAATGGAATATGTACTTTGACAGCAGTCCAGTCATTTTGTGATGAAAGAAAGAGTCCAAGACTTGGGATGAAAAAGCCCAGTAGTCACATCAGTGACAGCAGGAGAGAAACAGCCTCATCAGTGCTATCACTGCTGCTGCAGCAGCTCAGGACACATCATTTTTTGAAGCCTAAAATGAAATTTAGAGAGCAGAAGCACACAAAAGAGTTGAGATTCTGCCCGTTCTGTGCATGAGTGAAGAGGTTTGGATAGTCACTGAGAAAGAGCTGAAGAGAAGGTGGAGGCATGGTAGTGCCTGAATTGGAGAAAGGTTTGGATTTCTGGGACAAGAGGAGAGGCAGAAAAGGTAGTCTCTTCTGGATAGTGAGAGACCTGGTTTGTCAAAAGACGTATGTGGGGTGCTTGTTAAGTTGGGGCAATTTTTAGGAAAAACAAAGCAACTCAATGAAACAAGTAAACAGACTAGATGAGACACAAAGCAGTACGCTCAAGGAACCCGGCAGCAATGTTGATATGAGCATGGAGTATAGAGAAGGAAGAAAAACCTTGAAAAAACAGGGAAAAAGTAAAATGCCTTTTCAAGCTGCAGCTTACTGATATGGAATCCTGCAAAAACTATTGGACAAGAGCAGCTTCAAGTCCCTACCTGCCGTGTCTCCAAACTACTTTTCCAATTTTTCTCTTCACTATCAACCTACTGAAAACCCTCAGCCTTCAGGTTAAAGTATGAATCTGTGAGTGCTTGTTTCAAAGGATCACTAACAAGTGCAGGAGCAACAAGTTCCTTGTATCTAAAGCTATCCTTTAAAATCAACTGATGTGAGAACATCATTAAGGATACAGTAGAAAGCTGGAGAATTACTGCCACAGGCACAAAACCACTCCTTTTGTAAACTGGATACAACACAGACTTGGTCTCATCCATACAAAAGCTTTGTGCTAGGGTTAGGTGTTAATTCTGTTTAGAGGGACAAAATGATTATTTCCTAGACCTTCCTGCAACTGCTTAGGTGGCTCCTAAACTCCCTTTGTGTGCAGAGATAACTGCTGGGGTTTTCATGTTCATATCTCCAACCATGAGCAGCTGTGTAAGATACTTACGTTCAGACACGAAATAAGTTCCAGTAACAGCAGAGCTATTAAAGAAAAGCCTCAGCATATTGTAAGTAAGCCTGGTAATGGCTAAGGATTGGAAAGGAATAGGGAGAAATGTGATAGCATACAAGAAGGAAGAGAAGGAACGCTGTTGATCATGCAAGAACAAACAAGAAGAAAGTGGTCTTCTTGCAAGTGAAGAGGATTGAATTCTTCTTTGTGACTTTGCTTTTATTTTTGTTAAAGAAGATAACAACAGTCAAAGTGTGATCAATGTGAGAATTGCTTTACAGCATGAGGCAAAACAAAGCAAAGGAAGCACAAGTAATTTAAAAACATTTCCTGTGAAACACTGAAGTGGCAGGAAATTATTTCTAAGAAATACTGAATGGAGATTTAGGACTATTGAATTCCTGCAAAGCAGAACTGTTTGTGTTAAGAATTGTGTTGGTAGTGTGGGTGAAGTAGTAGGCAATAGTTTAAGCTGCCTGGTAAATGGGCAGAACAGATTTTAAGGCATTCTTCTGCATTAATATAAAGCATGATAAACATAGGTCAGTGAGGATTCATCAGACTATGCTGAAGGTCAATTACTGGAGTTAGCGAAATGAAGATTAGATTTCTCTGCAGGGGATGAACTCTGCCTTCCTGATGCAGCCTGCCATGAGGGCACAACTGCACTGCACCAGGGAGGCAGCAGGAGACAGATCAGATCTCAGTTGTGCAAAGACTACTAAACTGAGTATTGTGCAATTTACTCCTACAAAGCCTTCCTCCAGTCTACCTGGTGGCAGTTCTGGAGTGCTGCTGCACGGTGAGCATAGAGATTCATTGTTCTCAGTGAATGCATAAGTCAGGTTTGCTCTGAATAGGTGTTTTCAGCAGTTTTGTAGGTCATCTGGTACATCTCACACACCACTCTTTGGAAATAAGGACCATGAGTATTTAAATAGCCAAGCAAGTCCAAAGGACATTTGGTGCTTCAGGCCGAAAACTGACAGTCAGAAATTCTTGACTGGAACCCTGTGAGGTTTGCTGTGCTGTGCCAAGTGCTGAGACTATTTTGGCTTAAATAATCAACCATTTAAATAAATAACTGAAAGTAGTAATACTAAATGTAATTATAAAATAGAATTTAAAGAGGCAGTATATTAATTAAAAGCATTAAGACATTAATTATCTGTACTTCAGATTAACAATAAATATTTAAACGATTGAATAGTAATTGAATTATAAATAAATAAATGACTATTTGTAACAGTGCTAACCAGAACAAAATTCTGAGAAATTAAAAAAGTCAGTTCATTCGGAATGTTTTTTTTGAAACAGCTCTAACTTGAATATTTTGCAGATAAATCCATAATAAATTGTAATAAACACAACTCTGCATCAAAAGAACACTGTACTCAAATACCGCTGCCCACCAAGGCAATGTTGGGGATGCAACCAGATTGCCAAGAGAAACTAAAGCATGTTATCCTCTCTTGGTTTTGGCCAAAGAAAAGAGAAAAACAAATACAATCCTAGCACAGAGTTGAAAACAAGAAAGTGTCTCAGGTGGGTAAAGCAATACAAGCTTTCAATTGGCTAAGCCAACGACTGTATTGGCTCTTCTTTTTGGGCTTCCTGCTCTCTGGTCAGTCTGGAAACCCTTACATGTTGGTAGTGCAGAAATGCCTCACTTGATAAAGATCAAGGGAGAAATTATAAGACCTAATGGATTTATAGCTGAAGTTTCCAAAGCTAAGGATAAATAGCAAAGAGTAACAGCATCTTCAGCTACATTATTCTGGAAGTTCAAATCTGCAAGATAAAATTCAGGAGTGAAAACTCCAAATAAGTAAGGCACTAAATGTTATCAAGATGTAGCCGTTTTTTGAAACACATTTTTAAATGACTTCTTAATTTTTTTAATTTATAATATGAATAATTTATTTATAATTTTTTTAAAGAAAACGAGACATAGGGTTTAGTGACACTTAGAGAAAAAAATACTTGGTAGCTAAGGAAATAAAAAGTTCCCATTTCTTGTGTAACAGCAGCTGAATACTGAGCTGTTAAATAATGCTGTAGACAAAAAATGGGGATAAAGAATATCTTGCAATTTATGCTCTCTAAATAAAACACATTATTGTGAAGTAGTCAATAGATATTGAAAATAACATTGATACTCCAGAGAATTTATGCCAAGAGCAATAATATGTATAGATAATGCAAGAACAGATTTAGAAGTCAAAAGGGCAATTGCAGTGAGCCAGGAGAACTATGCAAGGTACAGGCAGTGGTTTCTAGCTTTTGCTTTTCTCTTGACAAAAGTGGCTGAAAACAAGGAGCCAACACTGAGGCCAGATTCTTCAGAGGGATTCAGCTTCTGAACCACCTTGCATTTGAGCAGCTGAGTCCTTCCTCCAAACACTGGCTTTTGCATGACCACTGCAGCTGTGTGCTGCCCACAGCCCAGGCATGTGGCTTCTGTGCCACTGCTTAACTGCAAACGGATACATGCTGTAATTATGGCTAAGGAACATTCTGATTAAGCCTTATGGCAATTTCAAGCATATTTTGGAGGAATTCAGGACTTACCGGCAGGAAGCCTTCTGAGTGGAATAAATGAATTCACATTTTCCATGTATACAGTAGCCATTAAAGCTTTCTGAACAAGGTATGTGGTTACCAATGTAAATGTCTTCTCTTTGATCACTGGCATCTTTAAAAAAAAAAAAAAAAAAGAAGATACATAAAAAATATAAATGCTGTACAGTATTTCTTAAAAAATCTCAAGCAAGAATAGTTGAGAAATGCCCTGAAAGACTGATAGCAAAGAAATGCAAAACAGAGAAGAAAAGGCTTAAAGGTGAAGTTTCAGAAACACCTGCTGTTATTTGGTAGGATGTATCACACTGAAAAATGATCCTCAGAGATATCCTAACGTTCTTCTTATGTGAGCTTTCTTGAAAGGAGAAAAGTATTTTTGAGAGAAACAACCAAGCGAGGGAAGATCAGAAGTTTTGTCAGTGTCACTGTAGCACAGAGCAAACACATAGGTACATAAAGCCCACTCCCATGTCTAAAAAGAATATCTGAAGGGTTGGAAAGAAACTAAAGCACATTTTATACTTACTGGGTAGAAAATTCTGTTCTGACTGGTATCACCAGTCATTGCAGCTGAAATCAAACACATTACAACAGCGGTCTTCCTACAGAAATTCCTTTTCAGAGAGTAGGAACCTCAAAATACTGCAGCGAGCTTAAAACACCAATTCTTTTGGAAAGTGTAATGATTCTGACTGGAATGGAGTTAACTCTTTCATCCCTATAGCCCCTATAGTTCTGGGTTTTGAATTCATAGTTGAAGTACTGTTGATAACAAGCCAGTATTGGCTGCTGCTGAAGGAAGCTTGCAGAGCCAACAGACTTTCGCTTTGTCCTATTCATCCCTCTGCTCCCCCTGAGAAACCTGGGGGTGTTCAAGAGCTTTGGAAGGGAGAGGACAACTGTCCCACAGTGTACAAAAGGATATTCTGTATCATAGGATTTGATACTCAGCAATAGAACTAAGGGTTTTGGTCTTCCTTCCCGAAGTGGCAGTTGTTCAGAGATTGGTGGTATGGGTCAGCCTGTGGGAGATTGTGAGTGATGGCCATTGTATCACTTGCTTTATTCTTTTTTTCTCCTTCATTTATTAAACTATTTTTACCTTGAGCAATTATTTTTTTCCTCACTTTTGCTCTTCCAATTTTCTCCCCTGTCCTCCTGAGGGAAAAGAGTAGGTGAGTGAGCAACTGGTGGGTGCTTAACTCTGGCCAAAGCAGCCCAGCAGAGGAAGGCAATCCCTTCTGCCCAAGACTTGCTGCATCTGTCACTATCAAAAGCTGCATACATTTTATATCATTTCCCCAAAACTTTTTCTGTAAAGAAATCTTAAATACAAAAGTTGGTCTTTTGTAATGAACTTCTCTAAAGTGCAGGGATCAAAAGATGTGGTTGTAATTGTGGAATTATGTTCATTTCTAGGCAATAGACTATATCTTCACAAATACAAGATTATAGTGAACTGCAGGTGCAAAGCAAAAAAGGACTGTGAAGAATAATTCTCCTACACAATCACCGATTATTTCAGATAACACCAAAAAGAAAGAGAATGCATCCATACACAGAGAAAAAAAAAGGAAACACATGCTGCTGTTTTAGGTTCTCCTTGAACATTTTCTGGAATATTAAGAAAAAAATTATCTAAACTTTAGAGGTTTCAGAAGATTCTTGGTTTCTTAGTAAGGAAGCCTATTAGTTCAGGCTGTTCTTCAAAGTTACAGAAGACTTGACACAAGTGAAAGACATAGCCTTATATTGACAGTATACCTGATACTGCTCTGTTGGAATAGACTACAAGGTGGTATATCCAAGACCATGGTGGTATGTCCAAGAGGAGGAAAATTGGGTCATCCCAAAATTGTTGCCTCCCTCCTCCTCCAAGCAGTTAATTACTGTTGTATCTATCTCAATCAGGGGCTAGTAATAAGCTACATACATTAGTCTGTCCAGATGGCTGTGCTGTGCCTGTTCTTATTGTACATATGAATGCAGAAAGTGAGGCCCAGTGACAGATGCGTCCCCTGGAAGGCAGCCAGGTAGCCACAACTGCCCAACCAGAAACAGAACATGGGCTGAGCAAAGTAAAATGGACATTCATCCATCCATTGAGGGATGGGAATCAATTTTTAACGTGAGAGGCCAGCAAGACTTCTAAGTGAGAGATTTAACTGGTGTAGAAAAAGTGTTCAATTAAAAAAAAATTAGACGTATTACCAGAAAGAAGAAGCCTGCACAGCAACTGAAACTGCTGTTCATCTTAGCAGGACAAAAGCAGAAGTTCAGTTGCAACAGTGAAGTGAGACCATTCTGATTTAACTTTAGGTAGATACAATAGGTACTGCAGGAAGAGGAGACCATCCTGACCATGATTCTAAGGACTGAGAGATACTATACATTCAGAGGAGAGGGTTTAACAAGAATAATGCACAGGACTCAAAAGTAAAAGCACACAGATAGAAGTGCAGCCTGTTCTCTTCTCCTGTAGGAAAAAGTCAATCATAATACTTCACTTCAGGCTTTCGCTGTGTAAAAAACTTGACTACCACATAAAAAAATTTAGAACTATTTTTTAGCACAACATACTCCCTTCTTGCTGAACTTGAGACTGCACAAACTATATATTTAATCATAATTATTATATGCAGTTCTCTTCTCATTTACTTGATTTCAAGGACAATTTATGGGCAAGCAATAAAAGACTATAACTTCTTCCAAATAGGAACCAAAAGTGCTGTTTTATCAATCACATAATAAGATGTATATTGCATTTCATCCCTTTTATGCCCCCACAATGTAAGTGAATATTGACATTACATTATTCCAATTGGTACTTTAAAAGAATGAAAATAAAAGAATTTGTGAAAAAGGAAAAAGCACAGGGCTTTTTGGCAATTAATGGGTTTTCAAGATGAACACAGGGAATATCTAAAGGCATGGTTGAATGCTTTTATTGCGGGTGGCCATGGGAGTGCAAAACAAGTATAATGACAGAAAAAAATTAAAGGTCAGTGCTAGCACAGAAGGTAAAACTGCTATTATTTGTGAGAGAAGAGGAGGCAAGGTTATCACCTACGCAGATCTGCTCTGAGAAAGCCAGGTGTTTTTCCTGGACAGCAACACTTTGAGCAAGAGCCATGAGCATTTGTTCTGAGAAAAAATGAGGTGCTGACACATAAAATAATTGAGCAGAAAGTGAAACTCTATCTTCTTTTGTTTATAATAAGGAATTAATTCATATGGGTAAAATGTTTCCAACCAATGTGATTTAGCAGTTTGGTTTACATAGAAGATATTAAAATGACCAAATACAGAATCTACATCTTTTTTTTTCATAGATGTGTTCAGAAAAGAGGGGGTTGCAGGGGGCTTGTGTAATTTCATCTGTTATCTCACAGCTTGATATCTTGCAGTAAAGGCATTCTCACAGCACTTGGCAGGGGTCTAATCCTGTGACTGTTGAGTAGGGGTGGTGAGCAGCTTAGTATCTTGAAAGAATACGGCAAGGCAAAATTCACAAGTCCTGCACATCTACTTCATGCCAGCCATTGTAATGACAGTGCTGCAAGAAAGAAGCTGTTTTTAGGTCTGTTTTGGCTACAGAAATCAAAGCTGCAAGAGACCAGAAAGGGCCTGCTCACTGTCTTTTCTCATCTTGGGAAACCATAACCAAACAGCACAAAGACAGCACGATACCTTTCACCTCTGGCCGATACTGCATGCCGTCGTCCTTCTTTCCAACTGCGTTTGTGTCATCTGCTTCTAGATGATAAATACATGCATGGATAGCTATTAGGAAAAGCTTAATTCCAAGCCACTGCATACACATCATTGAGAATAACAGTCAAAGAAAAAAGTGCAGTACAAGCACACACACTCCCATATTGTTCCTCCCATCCAACCACAGCAGGAACATGTAGAGTCAGTAACCCCAGACTCTAGCCTAACACAGGGCACATCTCAGGCTGTAGGTTTTGAACCTAAATCTCTTCCATTATATGGGCCTAGGTTATTTTGGTTGAGATATACATTCTTTTTCAAACTATTCAAATTACAGATTTTGTAACAAGCAAGGGGATGGTGGACAGCTGTTACTACAATGGAAAGGTCCTACAGCCAATTCACCTTGATCTGACTGCAATCAAGACTCCAAAACTGTGGATGTCCCCTCCCTGGAAGCATTCAAGGACAGACTGAAGGTCCCTTAAAGGTCCCTTCCAACCCAAACCATTCTATGATTCTATGATCAACAGCACACGTGGCAGCAGTCTGAAGGTTTTGGTGCACCTTTCCAGCACTGGAAACGGGAATGGATAAACAGCAGCGCAACTGAGGCCCAACTTTACTCACCTTGCAACTATATTTTACAGTCTCCAGTAGCAACAGTGAGCATTTTCCACGTTCCAGTATTCCCTTTCTTTCCTACTTCTAACAGTACCCTCATGTAGGGATGTTGCTTGCATTCTCCTATAACCTTTTGTTGTCTTTTCAGATAATAGCAGCCAAAGGAAGAAAAGTTAACGGAAGCATTCCACATCATATATATGCAGTGTAAACATACATCTACGTGGGGAAAACTAAAATACAGATGGTGAGTTCACTGATAGTGAGGAGAACTAAAATACATTTCACTGATACCTGGATCAGCCAGTTCTAATTAAAAATGAAAGGCTTTACCAAGCCTATTCATATCAGAATTTACATTTGTTGGAGAAATAAAATTAAACCTACCTGAGCAGTGTCCAAGATGCCTAATGTCTATCTGCTCTTGCCTCAGACAGGATGCTTCTCTAACAAAGCAGGGGTTGTTATAAGAACTTCCATCAGAAGCACAGACAGGATTAAAACTGTATCCACTGCAGTCTATATTGCATACACACCTGGAAATTGAAACAACAAAATTGACATCCAGCAAGCAAAGACTAAGTGCTGTTGAGTCTTGAGCAAACAAAGCTAATATGTTAATACCAGCCTTCTTCATCCAGGAGGAGAGCGTGTCGCACGAGGATGTTGAAGAACTTGCTGATACCTCAGGTTTCCAAGAAGAGTTTACAGACTCATGAATAAGTACCTCAGCATTCTTTTTAAAAATGTATTGATATTTAGAGTTTTGCAATAAGAACAGTCTCACTGATTAACAACCAAAAAATGATGACACGTTGCTGGGAAGATTCACAACATGAGTAAAAGTATGTTTGTTGTTTTTCAAGAATTCTGCTTTTTCAAAAGCAAATTAATATTCCACTTTTTTGGGGGTGTCAGGATCCCTGAGGAGGAGCAAGAACAGGACTTCCATTTCTGTTAAGCATTTAAAAGAATTTTTTTTTTTATTTCAGAGGACTGAATGCAATCAGTGTACTTGGACAACTGTGTCATTTCAACAATACATTCATTCATACCTTTGAAAGTTAGCAATGCATTTATTATATTGTATTTAAAACAGGATTATGTGATCTATTTCATGTTACATTCACGTAATACTTCAGTTGTTTTAGACAAAGCATTTTCTGTATCATTTGCAACAAGAGATCATAAACAAAAGTCAGGAAAAAGACCTATCATGTAGCAGGCTGCTATTGACCAAACATAGTGCAGACTAAGACTTGTCTATGGCTGAGACTTACTCCTTTTTAGTTAGACAGTTCTGCTGCTCCTCCAAAAAGTTCTGAAATTTGGTGTGCATAAATGGCACTAGAAAGCTTACAACTTTCCATCCTCCAACCTCTTACTTATTTCAGTCAATATACTACTTTTTATGTGAATCTCTCTTTTTTAATTTTTTAAATATCTTTGATGTCACTTCTGTCCACAGAAGCAAGTGGTGTGGCTGCAGGATGGAGGAGGCAGGGGTGCTGTGAGAGCAGGATAGAGGTGAGAGCTCTGCATCCTCTAAGGAGGACACACTCGTCCTCTCACCAGAAACCTCCACACAGGGGACACATGGTCTGTCTGACTGCTGTTAGCTTAATCTGGGTTCATTCTTGTAAGACATGGAGTGGAAAAAAACCAAACACAAGCTATCTACATGTCAGGATTTTTAAGTTCTTTCCAGCTGTTCCAGATACAATTAAATGATTAAATAAATGTGTGTGTGTGCCTCAAGTCAGTAACAAATCTTGCAGCAGAACCTATTTCTACCCTTTTTCTCTTCTCTCTTTCCATGAGCATATTTTGTTACTTTTGTTATTTTTGGCTTTAAAGCTACCATATTTCCCAGTAATATTTCAAACCTGTGAACTTCAGATTATTGCTAGACAAACGAGCAACTCTAGCACAAACATTTTATGTGCACTACAGACAATTAAAAACTGCCCCAGTAATGAGGCTGCACACATCTTAGGGTGCTACCCCAAAGTTGTCTTGAAGCCCCTAAATATCAATGGCACGTTACATTATTTTTTTTCTTACTAGAAATGGGAACTCAGCATAGCTGTAAACCTTAGACCTGGGAAAGGAAGTACTCTTTTGTTTACATCCTCCCACATGACTTTAAGCTCAATAAGCCCAATGAGAGGTTTATTAGGATTTAGTACATGCAAATAAAAGGCTCACAGCTCAGCAGTTGTGTACATTTATTGAACCAAACTAACAGTGAGCTAGTCCTCATCTGTGTGGCACTGGCTGTGTGCTTACTGATATCTTCCCTCAGCCATCAGGAATCTCTTCTACACCTGGATGCCCATCCTTGCCATATTTATTTATATCTCCAAGCAAATTCCATCTCTGTTTTTGTGTCCAAACAGCTCCACTTCTGCCTATAGTCATCATCCAAAGTCTGCAGCACCACAATTACTGTTAGCTCTTATCATTGCTGGTGACAAACAAGGTGATTTTTGAAAATCATTTTTCCTTTCTCATGTTACAAGTTCGTGTTGAAACTGCTTGGTAACTGCTTAAATTTTCAAGCTGTGTTTAGTTCAGACTTAACACCTAGTGTTAAATGCATACTTACTTCAGACTGCAAAATGCTTGTTCTGGGGGGTAGTTGTGAATTCCTGTCTTCTTATTCTCAGATTACTAATAAATACTACCAGCCTTAACTGTAACCCAATAGCCCATGTACAAAAATTTATTTTCAACATTTAAAATTCTTATCTAGATGTTGGAAAAAAGGGGGAAAAAAAAAAAGCACAAAAAATGAAGAGCTCAGCGCTGCCCCTCCACTCCCTGTGAGGAGCTGCAGCCACCATAAGGCATCCCCTCAGCTCTGGGCTGAGCCAACCTCCTGAGGGACCTCAGCTGCTCCTCATACCTCTTGCCTCAAGAGACCCTTCCTCATCTTTGTGGCCCTCCTTTGTATGCTCTCTAAGCGTTTTATGTCCTTCTTATATTGTGCCACCCAGATTGCACACAGTGGAGAGGTTGCACAGTGCAGAGCAGAGTGGCACAATCCCTTCCATTGGCTAGAAAGCAGTGCCAGAGTATCATTGAGTAGGTCTTGACTGCCTTTCTCTGCGAGGAGGCTGGACAGAAGGTGGTGCTAGTTCTTTCTCTGATGCTTTTTGCTATTACCAACCACTACCAGCCAAGGTGCTTGCAAATCCAGCTGAGGTCCCAGGGCATCTCCCAGCACAAGCACACCTGGTTCAGCATCTGCCCCTGCTTCCAGGATCATCCCATCCTCCTTCCAGCCCTCTTTCTCCTTTCTAAGACCACTTCCTTTCAGGACCCCTTTCTCTCCAGAACCCAAGGTTTTGCTTTCCCATTCTAGACTGTCTGCAGGAATGAAATGCACCATCAGGTTCCTAATTGATGACCTCGCCTCATGTCTCTTTATTAATTGGAGAACTCAGGACGTGACAGTTCCACTTAGCCTGTATTACCCCAAATTTACAAGCAGTCCATGGTGGTTGCAGCTAGCAAGTAGCAAGCTTCTGCTCAAGAGTTCAGAAGTTTCATACATTCACTCACATGCACATAGTTATCTGCCTGAGGCTGTTAGCTGCTTTTTTGCCTATGTCTGTGAGGCAAAATGATAGCTCAGACTTCTACCTGGCAGTTCAGTTATTTGTATAGATGCTTCAACCGAGCTGTCTGGCATGTAAAAGTAGGCAATTTACATATCCTGCTGGATAATGAAGGGGGCTGACATGCTTCAAAAATTAAGATTATTGTGCTCCATTATTCAAAAGCAAAAATCTGAAACCTTTCAGAGGACTGGAAGGGAATTAGTTAGGGCTTTAGCTGGGGCATGATGGCATGAAGAGAAGAGGGCCTCTGTGGATGCAACACGGTATCAGAGAGGGAGCCAGGAGCACATGGTGGGAAAGTGCATGTGGGGGACTCTGGGCTGGGCATCAGGCAGAGATGAGTGGTTTGACAGCATGCCTTCCTGCCCCAGCCCAGGAGAGGTGAGTGTGAACAAGAACAAAAAAAAAAAAAAAGGAGGTAGGAGCATAATGAAAAATTGTTTGGCATGTTCGATACCAACTTGCACAGCCTGTAGTCTCCATGGTACTGCCTCATCTTCTATCTTTCTTCCTTTTGCTAATATGCCATGTGTGAGCAGACTAGCAGACGCCCACATCTCCACATACTCCCATCCTATGAACTCAGCTTAAGGGACTGAACTTCCCAGTGAAGCTGAAATACGTTTTTGGTAGAAAACATGAAACAAAAAATGTTTTTAAATGCTCCGTGTTTGGTAAGGAAGGTAAAACCACGGGAGAATGAATTGCTGCTCTGATGCCGTATATCAAAAAAAACAACGTTGGCAGCTGAATTCCTGAGAGAGGACAGGCTCACTACCACTGTCTGAAACCTAAAAACAGCTCAGGAAAGTATTGTAAGAATCCCAAATGAGCCTTCTGTGAAATACAGAAAATATGCTACATCCTGAAGTCAGAGAGCTACAGAGAGCAGGACAATAGCTTGATGCTGTAGCAAGGACAGAAAATCCAACCGCCTAAGGGTAACTGACCACCACCGTGGGCTGGACTCCTAAAGTCAGGCAGACGTCGAAGCCTGGGACAACTAAACACAGCCCATGAGGAGGTGTAAATTATACACCTTGTTGATTTCAGCCCTTATTTTGTTACTTCAGGCAGTGGCTTCCTGCTTTTGATTTTAAAACCTTGTGCTTCAGAGGCTTTCTTTTCAGTCTCCCAAACAGCAATACACCATGTGACCCTTCCTCCCCTGCCTTTGCCAGTAAAATAGCAGTGCAGTACTTTTCAGTGAGAGAAAATACATGCCTTAGCCTCTTGCCTCCTTACCCAGGACATCAGAAATTTAAAAAAAATAATAATAATATAATTCTATGTGAACTCATCCCTGCCATGAAATGTTAAATAGTACAGTTAAATTACAGGGGAATGATTTGCAATGGAACATAATTTTATAAAGCAAGAAGCCTATATCAATAAGGTTTAGGTTAAGATATTAACCCACATTAAAAAAAGGTATTTCAAACAGAATTTTCCACCTCATATCTACTCATTTAAAATATACATTAAAGTATTGTTCTGCATCTATTGAGACAGCATCACAGGTTTGATTCTAGCTTTTCATATTTTTAACTGAGTTTTAGATAAAATTTTCATTCTATACTTTATGGAAAAGAAGAGGAGCAAAATGCATTCAATTATGAGGTGTGCTTTGTGCATGGGCCTTCTGGTAAGCAAGTAGCTGCACACTGAAATTACAACGTACCAAAACGGATGTTTTAACAAAAAAACAAAAAACAAACAAAAACAAAAAACAAAAAAAAAAACAAAAAACAAAAAACAGTGCCTATCACACAATACTTTTTGTAATAATAGAAAGTTATTCACATATGGAAACTCAATCCTTGCATGTGAAATTAACCAAAATTGCTTAGACACTGCTGTTTTGACCCCTAGGTATATTTTCGTAAATGTTAAAGGTTGGTTCTATTCTG